GGGATATATTGCACAGGGTGACTGAAACTTCAGTTTTCTTGGAGTTCATTTCACCCACTCCCCTTCACCATTCAAAACTGAAAGGAAATCACAGGCCAGCTCTGCACCTTCTGTTCTGAAAGCTTCCAGTGTAGGTATAATTTTGATTCCCATAAATATATCTCAAAGAATTAACAAATTGATTTATATTTTTTTCAATGGACAAAATATGTATTGCTTTCGATAATTTTTATGATGTGTTCCTCTTGTCTGGATTTCATAACAAATAGGAATTACACCTTACATAAAATGCGCTCTGGTCCTGTAACTAGGAGTGTGAGTAATTATGCCCAATAGTAGTTGCTTAGACCTCAGTGGAATAAAATTATTCAGGTGTGATTGCAGGATTAAAATTACACTGCATAGATAATAATATCAGGAAGTTTTCAACTACAGCTGCAGTTTTTAAAACCTATGTTCTCCTTATGTTTTGGCTCCTGAATTTTATTGTCTGGAATCATAATATTGATGCTATCCAAATGTATGGTTTATATTAAATTGTTCCTTTTTAAACCTTCGGAAAAAAGATAATTCATTATTAACTAGAGAAACTGGAACAACTCCAAATACATAATTAAAGGAGGAATAGAACCACCTCGTACTATTTTTCTGAGTTATTCACATCCCTCAGGAAAGAAGATCAGAGGCCGCTTAAACTTTGATTTTTAATTTATAAGCAATGCCATGTTAATCAAGAGATAATACTTGAAAATATTACAAAGGGACCAATTTTTTTTCCAAACAAAAAAGGTGTAGTGATACACACGTCTAGGTATTTACACTGTACTGAACATAACATTTCCTGAGCTTTTAAAGACAGAAGAGCAAAGAATAGCTGCAAGTAGAATAATCTGAGTTGAAGAATTGTGCTGTAATACATTACACAGGTATGTTCTGGTGCAAGTTGTCACTGACTTCAACATCATTATGGTAATTTGCTAAATAATGAAACTCCAGGTTAGTCTGGAGACAGTGTAATTTGAAGAGATTTTTCTTTAACAAGGAACGGTCATTTTAATCAGTGTTCATAGTAGTGTGCAGTCTTTGTTACAGATTTTCCACTACTGCAGTGTTTCTCTGGTTGTGTCTCAGCCTCTCTAGCTCCAGCTATTCCAGCAATGCCCCTTAATGAAACTGGGTTTTTTTAGTTGGTGGGGTTTTTTTTTGGTTGGTTTTTTTTTTGATTCAGTCATGTTTATGAACAACATAAACTCTGCTAACAGAAGGGCTTCTTTGCCAGCACAGCTGTGTATACTCCAGGTTGCTTTTGAAGTAGCTTTACTAATTAAGGATATGACTTTTTTCAGCTCCTTTTTGACATGTCTTTGCTAGGAAAATTTAATAGCATAGATGTGATGTCAGTTGGGTTTAGATCTTTTGTTAAGTACTGTCGTTTTCCACACTGACTTTGGAATTACTGCAATATTATTCAGACTGGTAACAGCTGCAAGTACTGGAGTCTTTCATTCCTGCCCATCAGGAGGAAAGTGTGAGAATATCCTGCCGCATGTGACTGAATATCCATATTAGAGGAATAAATGAAGGTGTGAAACATATACAGGGCTTTAACTTCTATGCACAGTAATTAAATTTTATGGCTTCTCACTTGAGTAACGTGTTTATTGCTTGATATTTCAGTTGGTCCAGTCATATTAATGACGTTTTAGATCAGGCTAACTCTTGATCATTTGAATTTGTAGATCCAGAGGCATTACTACATGGGCAACCAGGTTCTGAAGGTCTTTGCAGCAAAAAATGATGAGGTAAGGTGGACTGAAATTTAATGCTGAAGGTGTTTTGCCATGGAACAGGAAAAAGTAGTAGTGCAATTGAAATTGTCCCTTCTTTCCATGTTAATAAAATAAATAATGCAGCTTACAGAAGTCTTGTTCCATTGCCCATTAGGGTGTAAAGGAGTTAGATTATACCCCAAATGAATACCATATCTCATGAATAATGAGAAACTGTGTTTGTGCAAGGTCATGGGGAACCTGAACTGATGCTTAAGTCTCCTCTCATGCAGAGCAACTTTGTGCTCTGTCACTGTTATTTAGAACAGACGTCAAAATTATTTTAAATATTAGAGATAAAAACCTCACCATAGTGCTCTTATGTGTTCCTTTAAGAGTCTGACTTCCCTCCTTTTCTCTCTCTCTTGTAATACTTCTGAGATGTGTAATACTCCTTCACAAAGGTGGAACATGCTGGATTTAAAGCTTGCTCAGCTTGGAATGGATCCACTGTCATGATGTGATTTGACCTTTCTGCTTCTTCATTTTTTGAATTTGAGAAATGCTTGTGTTGAAGTTAAAGCTGAAATGAGAACCAGTCTTGACTAAGTTAATGATGTTGAATTCACTGTGAAAGATGTATTTCAGCAGTCTAATAATAATTTGCATGACTCTCTAGACTATTTTTTGTCCCTCCAGAATGCAGCAGTTGCTTTTTCTGCCCTTGTTCGTGCATTGGATGAGTTGCAAATGGTAGCTATAGTGCGCTATGCTTATGATAGAAGATGCAACCCGCAAGTTGGGGTAGCTTTTCCATCTATTAAAGATGCATATGAGGTAATTTTTCACCCTTACCTTTCTGTAGAGAGCTTCAGTATTAATACTTTACAAATACCAATTAATACATGATCATATTTGAACCATATGAATTTGCAGTGTTATGTGAAACCACAAGAAACCGATGTGACTATTCAGAGAGATTTTAGGAAATAGTGCCAAGTCTTAGGACAAGGAGGGAGGAAAATTCCATAGAAAAAATACATGGAGAAATAATCTCATATGTTTCTATTAGTATCTTCTGTATTACGGTTTTAAATAATACTGATTTTTATTTCGGTAATGTAGTAATAATTGCATTTTGTTATTCTGGAATTCTCTGGTTTTTTGGTATCTAGGAGCAGTGTAATATGTTACCACTGCTTTCTCGCTGTGTTACTACCTACCTCGCTGCATACAATCCACAGTTACACTGGATTCTTCCTTTTTTTTCTTCAAACTGTGGGTTTATCTCCAGGTTGCTTGGTAGTGAAAAATGTGAATTTGGTAGTTGGCATGGCATTTCAAGTGTGTCCAGCCATGCTGTTGTCATTAGGTTTCCAAGTCCACTGGAACTGAGGGGAGGAGCTCACAGCATTTAAAGCCATTGTTTAAATTCACATGGAGGGTTAGGAAGACAGTAGTATATTTATTTACTTTAAAAGGTTCTTTTAAAAAACAGGAGGAAAAAAATGGTTTGTTTCATGGGGGGGGGAGAAAGTTCTGTACACAGCAGAATCATATTTGAATTTTTTTTAAGTTCTGAAACCCAGAAGCAACACAGTATGTCAGAAATTTTGCAGCATATGTTTCCACTGATCTTATTTACGAGAGACTATTGAAAGAGCTAAATATGTATAGCATGGGTAAGCAATGACGAAGGTGGGGGTGGACATAACAATCTTCAGACTTTTGAAGGGTATAAACATACATGGAAAGGAATTATTTACGGTGGTATGAACTGTAGGTGGTATTTGAATAAAGAAAAAATAGGCTAAAAATGTTTAAAAAGACAAAATCCAACTTTTGACTTTGAAACACGGTTTGATAAAACCTCCCAAAGCGCTAATATGTTGGGTATTTAAAGCTTGGCTGGTGGGAATTCTGTACAAGAAAAAGGGATCAGATGACCTGGGAGGTCTTTAGTAGTTCAACCAGTAGAAAAATGAGGACTGTAACCATCACTGTATTATTAAATAATGCTGTGTTTTATTCTGCTTAAAACTGTGTTGCTCTGTAAAGATTTTCTTTAAGCATTTTGATACACACAGGTACTAGATCTTTGGATTTTTCTTATGTTTATATTGCCCTGATAGGGCACTCCAGGGTACTCTAGATTTCTTGTTTGTTTGTTTTTTACTTCAGGCTCAGTTGTGTCTTTCTTGTTTTATCTTGCTCAGTGTCTCATCTATGTGCAACTACCCTACATGGAAGACTTAAGACAGTACATATTTTCATCCTTGAAAAACAATAAAAAATGCATTCCTACAGGTAAGATAGTCCTTTGCTGGGCAACTGGACAAAGTAAGCTACTTATCTTCCCTTAAGACATTCTGAAAGACCTGGAATATTTGGCTTTCCAATAAAGACATACACTTTGTCATTATTTTGGCTTAGGGAAAAACCCCACCCCTTTGGGAATACATTATGGTGATGTCACCTTGAATTGTAAAGCCCGTATCAAAACTTCTCCAGCTTAGTTGCAGGCTGAACAGACTTGAGGTTTGCAGGCAGTCTTTTAAAACTGTCCAGTTAAATGACTTCTGGCTCAAGTTATGGGATTATTATTCTCACAGGATCTTTGTGATAGACATTTCAGATTTAGTCCTTTGTATCCTTTGATCTTTGAACTCATCTGTGAGACTAAGTGGCCAACCTTGAGGCTACAGTATGTGATTCACTAGCTAGACTTAGAACAGAGACACAGGCTCTGTTTGTGCAAAGCCGGTCCTGTAGCTAGTTACGGTATGGCCTGTTAATATAATGTACAAAGGCAAGGACTGTATTTTCTGTGGTGGTGATGTTTTTTAAAGCATGCACTTACTGCTACCCGGATTCAGATGGAGAGTGTCTTTGGAGAGGCACAGACGTGCAGCCATACCAAGCTTGACTTGCTGTTCTGAGAATTTTGCACAGCAATGAATGTAAATGGACATGGTTTAAAATCCACTCCCACGTCTTTAATTTTGTTATGAGATCCATTGAATGGGCATCCGCATGTCAGGCTGTATAAAGGATGCTGGGTTGTTTCTGAAACAGTTTCTATTTTCTTGCCTGTAACCGGCAGCTTGAGAACAAATCTAAAACCTGTCTTAAACAAAGCAATAGTTGACTTCTGTGAACTGTGTTCATTTGCAATCATAACTTTTAAAATTTATATTATGCCATTTAGTTTTCCAAACCAGCTGTTCTCCTTATTTTCTAAGTGGTCTATAAACATTCTGTTACTAATAAAAACATCTTGAAAAGAAGAAAAATGGAAGCAGAAAGGCAACAATAATTGAGGTCTTGGCAGGGGGAAAAGGCTTTACAACTTTACATTGTAGTCCTTAAATAAAGTGGGAGTTTTAATACTGTGTCCGTTATCCGTATTTTTATTGGCACATCTACATGTGCAGTGTATTCTGTGGCATTTTGTGGCACTTGATCAAAATCTCACGTTGTGAATTGAATCTTCAGTTATAAATTGTTTCAAGAAATGCATCCATCTGCAAGCGTATTTAATTTTCCTATGTTTGTAATTGCTGCCTTAGCGGATCAGTTATCTGCTGTTGACTCTTTGATTGAGTCTATGAATTTGGTTTATGAAGATGATGATGGAGAAACTTTTGAGGACCTGTTTAAGCCTAGCAAAATCCCAAACCCTCATTTTCAGAGGTTATATCAGGTGAGATAATTATATGGCATTTTTAACAACTTCCTCTGTTAAGACTTTTCCACCTTTCTGTCTTTGATTCACATTGGAAAGATCTTCATTGTGAAGATGAGAATATAAATTCTTTTCCATTTAAGTATGGGGTAGCCAGTGATTTCTATGTTGTCTCTGACATAGATTTTATTCTTAAAATTTCCAGTTTCCAGGAAGCAAGTAAAAATTACACCTGTGCTAAGGTGTCTGCAACAGCATCAGTGATATTCGCAGATACCTAGACTAAACAAGTTAAAACTTGCTTGGGTATCTCAGCACTGTATTGCCATGATCACGGTGCCAGCATTGCCCAGAAGCTGAAGACTGAGTCTAAGAGAGACATTGACTGAAAATGAGGGATCTCTTCAGCTCCTCGTTCTGTGTCCCATCAGATCTTGAGCAGAGTCACTTCTCTGTGCATTGTTGCATCTAGTGGTGGTTCCAAAACAGATCAGTAGTAAACGGTTAACATTGTTGACATTTAAAATACTCCATTTGGGTGTCTGAGCTGACGCATTTTGACGGGCGAGCAGAACAGTTCACACTTCTTGCAGTTATTGTATCAAGCTGTCTACATTTTAATTTACATTCCTTTCGTATCATGAAGATTTTTATTGCAACTGTGAGGATGAGAGACTTAATTATACATTGGAATTCTTATTAAAAATAAATGACACAGCAAATTCAAAAATAAGAAAAATTATGATGCAACGTATGCAGCTGCAGAATTGTATTGTATAGAGAGCCATGGAGATATACTGAGTACGTGACTCCACTCTGAAAATTGACCAAAAATGGTATTACAGCATTCATGTTCATTCCATCTCACCAATTTCAAATGAAATGTTTTCAGTTTACAAGTAGGAAGATGATGCTTTTTTAACATTCAGAAAACTTACCCTAGCTTCTGTGCTGCCTCAGTATTGTCAAAAGAAACAAAGGATCTGAAGGTCTCATTTGTTTTCTGGAACACATGTAAGCCCACTGTCTTCAAAAACTACTCTGATTGACACCTGAAGAACTCGGTGTTCCCTTCAAATCCTACCAGTCATATTGCAAGACAGCGCGTAACTGAATGCAAGATTTGGTCAGTAGAATGTTATTGCTGAGCAGGAGCTTAAAACGAATTGACTTCTGCATGACTCGAGTTTTAGGAAGGATTGTAAAACTTGAGTATTACAAAACAAATACAGTTTTGCTCCTAAGTGAAACATACAGGGGATAGAATTTCCTCTGTTATATTACTAAATACAATTTTGCATTCTTTTGGTTCAGTGGTTGTCACCTATCCATGAAAAGTGTTTCTTTAGGTGTGCCATTTGCCTTCACTGGTATTTTGTCAATACCAGTATGATGGTGTTGTCCCAGCAGAGTGCTGCTAGAAGAAAGTAACTGTGTAACTCACCATTTTCCTTAGATGATAGTAAGATTTTTGTAAGTCTGAACGCTATTAGTGGAAAAAAGTATTTATTAACTGTTTCGATGTACTAAATAGGATACAGTTCCTGTCCACATTGGTGCTGTTTATAAAGCCCTAAATTACCAGTCTTTTTAGTGCTTTCTCTTGCCCATGCACAGCCTCGTTTTGTTGTTTTGGTTACAAAACTGTTATTAATCCATGTAAGTTGCAAAAAAAACCTGCTCTCTCCTTTGCTGCAAACATGTTCCAGGTTCTTAATATTTTGCTTTTTGACCAATTGGCACTGCTGGTTCCTTGTATATTTTTTTCTTTATAATTTTTATATCATCTTTTCAGTGTAGCCAGTAAATTGATTTGGCTGAACAAGACCTATAGGTGGCTTGGAAAAATAACTCTGAAGAAAGGATGAACTCCCCTTTCATTTTCTTGCTCTGTTGTCTCATGAAGATATTTGGAAAGATAAGTGACAAGAGCCAGAATTTAAACAGAAACATCAAGCTAAATTATATCTCTGGAAGTAGTGGTAGGCACATAAGACATTTGGAGAGTGCAGTACATTTTATTTGGTAGCCAGATAAACCAATTGCTCAACAAGGATTGTTCTGTACTGAGGCAGACCTGAGGGGAAAGTTTGTGAGGACGGTAGCCTGCAGCATCGCATACTTCATGGGATCCAGCTGCAGAGTCTGCATCTAAATGCGCTGAAATGGCTCTTGATAGACCGTGCATAAGCAACCACAGAGGACTGAGCTCATTTCTAAGTGGTTGGACTGTACAGTGATGTTCTTTCAAAAAGCAGAGCAGCAAGACATGGGAGGTAGCTCGCAGAAGTCTGTAAGGGCTTTCAGCGACAAGTAATCTTAGCTTTGGTTGAATGTTGTGGATCTGTTGTAAGGTCATTTTTAAATAGTCACAAACTAAGTGTAAACTGAACTCTAAGACACTTGTGTTGGGGTTCATGCAGGTTTAACCACCCAAAAGCTAGCTTAGTAGTGTAAGATGAGTTGCCCAAGTCTGTTCTGTAATCCGTGAAAAAAGAACCTTAGGAAAGTAATTGATTCTTCTTGTTTCAGAGATTGTCAGTACATGATAGTTGTGGTTATGTAGAGTAAGAAGGTGACTGGTATAGACTAGATGCTTTATCTCTCAGACAGCTGAATCTGTCTCCCATGTGCTAAGGCTTTATATACTATCAGGTTCATGTAGGATTTATAGATTTGGTAAAATATGTTCTTACAAAAGTGTATTCCTAGATGCAGTGTGGAAGGGAACAAGGCAGGATGCTTTCTTGCAGTAAATTCCTGTCTATTCAATTATGCCATTGCTTATCATGGAATTACTTATGCGAAAAGCCATGTTCACATCTGTTGACCAGTATCTTAGTGCGACCCCTGTTCCTGAAAGCTGGCTACATCTCTAGGCTGGAAATGTAAGGAGATTAGGAAGACCAAGGAGGAGCTAGCGCGTTGCTGACAATATGTGTGAATAGAACGGTGAGTCTGGAAGCCAGCGGCAGCGTGGGTTGCCCTCAAGCCAGTGAAGGTAGGAGTGATTCTTGCTGGGCACAGAAGGAAGAGGAAGCAAGGTTAAAAGGGATTGTCTGGGATTAGAGGCTTCAGGTTAAGTCTGTTCAACTTCACCTCCATTTAGCACCTGAGTTTTGACGGTACCTGTCATCTCTGGTTTCAGAGGTTGTCATCTACTCTGAAAAACAGGAACAAGCAGTGGCTGTGGCTGTCCAGTCTGCTCAGCTCTTGCATCTGCGCACATAGAGATTTCAGATGCAAAAGCCTGAAAAACACATTCACAACAGGTGACTTAGGGTTTTTTTTGCTTTGTGAGTTTAATTCAGTCCCTTAATGTTGTTTAATATCGGGGTTTTTTTGTATCACAAGAGCCATTACTGCAGCTTCCAGCAACATTTTTACTCTTTCAAAATAATTATGCGTTAAATCATTACAAGTGTTTCCAAATCAGTAGCCTTGTATAACTGCATCCTTTTGAAAGTATGCTCTAATATGGATTGGAATCTTAATGTCAGCATGAAAGCACATCAGTATTGATGTGTGGCATATGGTCTGGATTTTCTTTATTGGCAGCTTTTCAGCATGAATAGAGGGGTTTTTTGTTTGCTTTGATTTTGTTTTTTAAATTAATGTCATGTCTGACAGCGAACAGGGGAGCAAATCTCTGCTGTATTCCTAGTTTACTGGGTAGTTACTCTTCACACTGTCTAATTCACCCAGTACAGTGGGCTTGGAAAAATTACATGTACGTCACATGTTTTTATGTATGGATGTGCATAAACTGATATCTGTGTGTATTTGTGCCCACAGTGTTATCTCTGTATGTAAGTACACATGCATCTCTGCTAGTGTCTCACACTTCACAGCATTTAAGAGATACCTACTTGGTTTTTAAAATTCTCAATGGACTTTCTGTAGCCTGCCTCATTAACCTCATCTCTCTCCCTCTGCCTGGCTCCCTGACTGTGTGCACTGTCTTTACACTGTGGTGAAAAAGCCTTCTCCTCTATAGCTCCTGCTATCTGTTCCAACTTTGATGTACATCTGTCAGGCCCCTTCATTCCCTCACTCTTTTCAAAGCTAATTTGCAAACATATATTCTGTGTCTCATCTGTGCATGTTTTGCTCATCTCTTTCTATTTGCTCTTAAACTCTTGGAAGTTTCTCTTGTATGCATACTGAGTTTTATTGACCAAAAAAAATATTTTCTTTGAGGCACAAGAAACTGTGACAATAACTGTAATACATGGCTGGAGTGTATATCTTATTGCCTAATTTTGGAATGTGTAGAAATCTCTCCCATGTGACTGTTTTATAAGACAAATGCACTTTAAAGGTGAAGTGAACTTGAAAAGCTGAATGGATCCAGATGACTCTTTTATTCCTGTAATTTTCATAGAACTCATTCCAGTGAGTGTGGGTGCACTCATCTGCATTACTATTCTTGTTTAGCATCGTTATTAAAATCTTAAACAATTAATCATGCAACTTTCAATCCACTTGTGAACTGGAATATTTGTCAGCAATATGAACGTAGTTTCTTGAATATGGAAAATATTTTGCATGCACTGTATGATGTCAGGCATATAGGCACAGTATATTAAAAGCAGATAAACTAAAAGCTTTTCTTTACTCAAGCTGTTTCTTACAGTGTTTGCAGCATAAGGCTTTTCACCCCAGTGAGCCATTGCCACCAATTGAACAGCACCTTTTAGAGATGTTGGAGATGCCCCATGTGGTACAAGAAAGGTGTCGGACTTCTCTTGAAAAAGTAAAAGCGCTTTTCCCCCTAAAGGAAGTTGTCAAGAAAAAAGAAGAGAAGACTGCTCAAGACATCTTCAAAGACAAGTGAGTTGGAGATGTATTATGGATTTTTTGAAACTTTTTTTTATGCTTCAGATTGTTTCTTCAGGATGTAGCAGGCTTGGCATCTTTTGAACATAAGATCAGTGAGTTACACACTGAAAAAATACTGAAGAGTGGAGAATGTTGTGGTACTGCAGTATGTCTGGGATATTTTGCGAATAGTGGTAGTTGGTGGTCTTAGTACCATGGGGCAAGTCATCAACCAGTCTGCAGCTTCCTCATGTCTGTATTTGTTGTCACAGAAGCCACCAGGTTGGAAGAGACCTCAGGAGGTTTCTTGTTCAACCTGCTGCTCAAAGCAGAATCTCCTCTGAAAGCTAAACAGGTAACTCAGGGCTTCATCCAGTCCAGTCTTGAAAACATCCAGGGTCGGATAGTGCACATCCTCTCTGGTCAACCTGTTGCATTGCTTACTGTCTACTGGTCAAGCAGTTTGTCCTACTGGTAGTTATAAAATAGTTCAAATAAATACAACAGAGGGTTTAATTAAGTTTAGAATAAATGCTATGGAGCTTTAAATTAGCTGTAAAGATGAGCCTTCTCAGCATGCTTTATTTAGGTTGTTCTGTAGCTTTGATTTTGAATACCCAATCAGAAGAAAAGCAGCTGTGCAATAAATGTGGGTAGCTTGAATAATCAAACTGTTATGGACTCTTCCTGAAACATCTATTGTCTGAACAGTTTTTGAGACTTTTTTTGTTGTAACATATACTGTGTTTATTTGTGCTACAGATAAGAAGAATAAATGTTTAATTGCTGCTGCATTGGTACTGTCACCCCAGCCAAGTCAATTTGCTCTAACAAGATCTGCTTCTTAGAGCTTAATCTACTGAATGCCTGTAATAGAAGTAGAGGATGTCCTGGAATGTTGGAGAGTTCTCAGTTAGCTCCTTCTCCCTTCCTCTTGTCATTTTTAGCCTAGTCCTTTCAGTGCTAGGAACAAGGTCTTTGAGCCATTTTTTGAGGCCTTGCTTAGCTGAGCTGTCATATGTCCTTTGTATTGGGTAGCCTCGAGCCTCCTCAGCACGTTTTCTTTGGGAAGACATGATGTGGGACTTCTCACATAACTGCTCTGGAATAATGACCACATTTCTGTATACAAACTGGGAAGCACCTTGCTTTTTGTTCATTTCTGTGTTTTCCTGTCTTGCCTTAGTGTGTCTGTGATTTCATACTGATAAATTCTCTTGTCCATGCTGTGTGCTCCCAGCTTCTCTCTCTCTCTCTCTGTGTATGTGTATCTTAAAAAGTGTTAGAACCAGGTTGTTTTGTTTTTTTTTTAAAAAAAGGCAAACTTAGGTTCAAAAAAGCTAGAGAGAGAATTTAAACAAATAACAGTGATCCATTACTGGTAGTTGCTTAAAAACATATCGCCCCTAAGGCATCAATTTGACAAGCAAGAAGGAAAGTTATCTTGTTTAAAAACCTCTTTCCTTTAAGAGGGGTGATGCAAGCAGCTATAAAAGCTATTGAGATAGAAATTGCTGTAGGGCATTAAAATAATTTTTAAAAGTCTGTAAGGGAGGCAAGAGGATACAGACTCAAATATGCAAAGAAGAATGAATGATAATAGAATTAAAAATATGGAAAAAAAAGCTGGTGTTGCTGTAGTCATGAATGGAAACAGCAGTGTTGTTAGTACTGCAATTCCAAATGAAATGTTTTCAGTTTACAAGTAGGAAGATGATGCTTTTTTTACATTCAGAAAACTTACCCTAGCTTCTGTGCTGCCTCAGTATTGTCAAAAGAAGCAAAGGATCTGAAGGTCTCATTTGTGTTTAGGGAAAACCTGAGTGATACAAATAAATCACTTCATAAAAAAGTACATCACTGCAGCAATGACTAAGGAAAATGTTATGGACCAGATAATATTCAACTTATTAAAACAATCAGCTCTTGATAATTAGCACTAAAGTGTTTTGAAAAAGTTTGCTGGAAGCTTTCTTTACCGTTAGTTTTGTTTTCTAAAACTGATTTGTGCCTCCTATCATAATACTGACCTGATTAATCTCTGCTTAATTTTTAAGGTCTAGTGGGATTAAGGCAGCATAAAGTAGGCATGATATCTCAATGTATTGGGTTGGCCACAAAGTAATTGCGTTTTTTAATAGATGGACATATATGTTGTGAAAGGTAACTAACTTAATCTTAAACTGCAAATCCATTACCTAACTTGACAGCTGATAGTTCAAGCTCTTTTTTAGAAAAAGGAAGTGCATGAATTTGTTAACAATTATTTATTTGGTGTTGATTTCAAAATAGAAAATCAAAAGGAACATTTTTGTCATATTTTGCTCTATTACTTCTGAAAAGAAAAAAAAACGCTGTGCAAGCTCATAAAAAGTTATGTGATGCATATGGTGAAGATGCCTTAAAACTGCAGCAGTGTCAGAATTGCTTCGCTACATTTTGGTCCAGAGAGTTTGTTAAAGATGCACCATGCTCAGGCAGGCGAATCGAAGTTGATGACGACAAAATAAAGGCATTGATCGACTCCAGTCAGTGTTTAACGACACGGGAGATTGCTGATAATCTTAACATACTGAAATAGAGCATTGAGAACCATTTAAAACAACTGGGATACGTTAGGAAGCTCGATATTTGGGTACCACATGAGCTCAAAGAAATTAATCTTGCTAAGCGCATTGATATCTGTGATTCTCTCTTGAAACATGAAGGAAACTATACTTTCTTGAAATGTATGATAACGGACGATGACAAATGGATTGTCTACAACAATGACAATTGAGAAAGGTTATGGAGCAAGTGTGATGAACCAGCTCAAAGCACTTCAAAAGCAGATATTCGCCAAAGGAAGGTGATGCTGTCAGTCTGGTGAGATTTCAAAGGTATTGTATATTTGGCATTGCTTCCAAGGAACCAAAGCATTAATTCAGATGTGTGCTATTGTCAACTGGATAATTTAAATGATGCTGGCACCTGGCACCAACAGACTACCATTTATTTTGTTGTTTACAAAAGAACTTGAATGGTGAAACATTTACTGCTGATGAGGATGTAAAATCATTCTTGGAACTATTTTTTGCTGAAAAAGATAGGAACTATTTTGAATGTGGAATCATTAATTTGCCTGAAAGATGGCAAATGGTAATTGAACAAAATGGACAATATATTGTTTACTACAGTTTTGGTTTCCCATGAAGAATTGGCTTGTCATTTACCCAGACAAAAACTGCAGTTACTTTTCGGCCAACCCAATAGATTTTAATATTGAGCATTTGTTTGTTTTACTTTTGCTAAGCTCTGCGTAGTTTTAAAAAATCCAGTAAAATAGAAAGCATTTTACTTTGTCCTTCTTAGGTTGGCTTTGGAGAGGCTGTTACCTCATTTGAAGTATGTGAGAGTGTGAGAGGCTTCTCTATAAATGTAAAAGTGGATGTTTGAAGTTAATGTTGTATTTTATTAATTTTTCTCAAGTAGTAGTTGCACGTTTTATGGTTTAAAAATACCGCTAATCAGTGCTTTACCAGTTACAGATTCTAAATGTCAGATCCTTAGCTGGTATAAATGGGTATGGATTCATTAGTTTCTGCTGTACTGCACTGATTGATGACAGCTATAGATTGAGTCCTAGGCAGTTAAATGCAGCATCACCATTTATGTTCTCCTTCTTCCTCCAATCCCAAATCATTTTGTATCAGTAAAAATAATGCAAGAGGAAAAAGATTTCAAGACACTGCAATTGATTGCAAAACACCTTTGGAGAAAAATATTCTAGAAGAGGATTTCCACTAATCTTTGCGCCTTTCATCAGACCATGTCAGTATACAAGAATTTTGGTTCAAGTCAAAGTTCTAAACTCGCTGGCATTAGGAGAGTATCAGTTTCTCCATTTTATAGACAGGCATATTGGCTGTACTGAACAATCAAGCAACTTGTTCAAGCTCAGTAAGAAAGTCAGCAAAGTTGAGAATGAAGTGAGGTATCCTATCCTTGTGTCCTGAGGCATAACCAAAGTCGTCATTTCTCATAGAGTGATAAGTAAGGTTATGTTGGATGACAGGAGCTCCTCAGGAGAGGGGCTTGCATTTCAGTAGTGACAAAATTAACTAAAGGACAGAGAAGACTACTGAAACAAAGTGGGATAGACAATGATTGTAAAGTAGGAGAGGAATGTGCTATAGAAGGTAAAAAGGAAGACTGTACAAGTTCTTTCTAATAGTTGATTTCTTCTGTAATATGTAATGCAGTTTTGAAAAATTGGTTCTAATCTTGCAGAATGCAAAGTGGCACCTAGTCCAGAATCTCTGGCTTTGTCCTTACATCATCAAGCAGTTTCTTCTTTTCACTGCAGTAGTATAACTTTTAAGAAAAACTACTTACTTAGTTTTCGGATTCCTTGAACACTATCTATATATATAGATCACTGAAGAGCTTTCAGTCATTCTTAAACTGATATCGATTCTTCCGTGTCAGTAGCCTGTCACATTAAGTGATACATAACAGTGTCAGATTTTCTTCCCCTTTTGTGATTAGCTGCATTTTCTTGTGTTGCCAAGATGCGCTCTAAAGTTTAGTACGTTTGATGTTACAATTAAGTTCCTGGTTTGAATGTACACCTTTGTGTGTGTTACCTGTGAGGGCAGAGCTAGAAAGCAGCCTGAAATCACACGTAGCTTTTTAAAAGTAACAAATAGTCTTTTGCAAACATTTTGACATGTAGCGTAAAATGTCCTAAGAGAGTTCTTCCGTACTCACTTAATTGGGATTTGCCTAGCAGGTTTTGACTGCAGTAAGTGGAAGTTTATAAAGCTCTCATGTGCTGATGGAGAATATGGGTCGTAAGACAAGATCCACTGTGTAAACAGGTTTGTAGTAGCTATCAATTCTGAGATAGGAATAGAAGGTAATTTTTGAAGAGTAAATGAATTTCTTACTAAAATGTTAAGTTTCATTGCCTTTTCACACTAAGAAGATCCGATGTCATCTGATAGAGTGTAAATCAGTAAATCATATACGGTGAATTATCCAGGTTGACTCAATATACAGGGTCCAAATAAAGTGACTGGAGATACTCTGTATTTAGAAAGAGGGAGAATGTGTGTGTTAGTAAATTCACTCCTGAAATAAGCATGGATAATCTCACATCTTCAGTAAGCAGTGGCTTTGCTTTATGCTGAGATAAAGTTTGATTTCTCTTTCTACTGTCTGCTTTGTGCAGCCCTTGGGGAAAAATGAGGCATGGTTTTGTGTTAATTTGTTAACAGTTGTATAAAGAAGTTTTGTTCAGTGTGTATTTCATTAATTTTCTGAGTCCCTACTTAGTAGCCAGGTCAGTTTAAGTGGTTATATAAATTTTTGTCCTTTGCATTTTGCAGCAATGAAGCTGGACCCAATGCCAAGAAACTGAATATTGAAGATGAGGAAGGCAGCTTTAGCATCATGAAACTTGCTGAAGGCAATGTCACCTCTGTAAGCATCTGATTGTCAAGGGGGAAGGTTAATTTCTCTAAAAGCATTGTAGTGAATGTGCAGAATACTTGATAAAAGGAGGGTTTATATCTGAAACATGACTGAAATCTTGTCTAGTTGTAGATTTGAGACTCTGCTAGAGATTGTAAAGACAGCTTTCTCTGCCCTTAGGTGTATGTTAGCACAAGTTTCCATCAGAGATCTCCCTCAGTGTCTAGAGCTCTAAAGGGCAAGCCTGAGGACCTGAAGAAAACAGAATCTCAGAATTGGGGTTCAGTGATTGAATTTTGTTTTTATTCTCTTTCATATCATCTGCAGCTTGGAAGTTGCCTCTGTATATTTAATCAAAGGTATTGCTGTGATTTTAGAGACTGTTCTCTGCATTGGTTGGCATTCTAAATCACAGAATTGTAAATCACAAATTTAGCCTAAACTTGCTGCTAGCTTAGGTGTCTAACTTAATTCCAGATGTTGCATATGTGTGTAGATGGAGTCTGTATCATAACCGGCTACCTTCTTTTATTTTATTTTTGTATTACAGGAAAAAAGGTGATTTAATATTGAGATAATTTCAGTTGCTTTCAAACTATCCTTTAAAGTTGGTTTTTAAAATGCATGATTGAGATTTTTAAAAAGATTTAAAATTTTTAAAGTTTTAAATATTTTGTGCTCCTAATATAAATTTCTGATATTTCCTGAAAAGTGGTATTACGAGATGTTAAAGAAACACGAAGAGACCAAGCAAGCTTATTGAAAGATCAAAGAATTATTTTGATAACAAAGCATAAAAACCTAAAATAAACTCAGGAGAATTTTGCTTCTAAAAGGAAATGTTGAGCAATTTGACTTTATTTTTCTAAAGTTACTGGATTAATTCTTCAGTAAGTGTTTATTTATATTTGACTTGGTTTTAGTTCCTCTGCAAATGTTCCGCACTTGTATGTGCATTTAGAGCTTCAGCTTTAAGATGTCAGACTGGGCCAGAAAGGGTGGATGAATTGAGTGTGAGCTTTTAATTTTGAGCTTCCTATTGGAATGACAAAACAATGATGCTGTACCCACGTACCTGTGAGCTCCTATTGCTCATTAAGCATCTGTCAAGATTAGTGAGAGGCCTGTGCTACAGAAAGTCTCAAAGCTGAACTAGCAGATAACCTGAATTACTGTGCTTCTGACCTCTAAACCCCAGAGAGTATGGTTGTCTTACAAGAGTGCAGGATAGTAAATGTAAGTTCATCTTGCTCATGTCATAACTAACCTTTGCTAGGAGCACTGTGAGTTAATGCACATTGTGAGACTTGGTTTTATGAGTCTGCTGAGAAGTGTAGAGCTTCTGTTTCCATATTAAAATAAACAGAAATTTAAAGATTCTTGTTGCCTCGCAAGAAGAAAGAGATGGGTATTGGCAGACAGTTGTACCATTTTTGGACTTTTTGTAGGTTGGCAGTGTTAACCCAGCAGAAGATTTCCGAATTCTGGTGAGGCAGAAAAATGCGGACTTCAAAGACGGTAAATTATTTTTATCTATCTAAATGATATTTAGTAGCATCTTCAGGGTTTAGTAAATGTGATTCATTTGTCTAAACCTAGGTTTCTAGTGCTATGTGAGATGCTCTGGAGTTTACTGCCTAGGCTCTGAAGCTACTTAGCAAACAAACGTGTCACTTGTAATTCCCATGTCAATATTTGCCTTCCCCGTTTGAAAGTCTCACATAACCATTTTTGTCTGAGATGGCACTAAACAGCTGCATTGAAGCATCTGAGCCAACTCCTCAGGTATTTCTGACAGAAGATCCCTTGGTACTCACTGCCTCATTCACACTGGGTATCAGCTTCTCATCTGGCTTCGTGGGATCTATCTGGCTTGAAGTGAAGAGCTGTTGGCTGTGTGCGGTGGGATAAACCAGTCTTCTGCTGTCTACTTACTCTGTTCTATGAAGAAACAAGAGTCTGATGCCTGGGATTTAAATCTTTACATCCGTGTTTCTTACTGCTTGTTGTGGGCAAAAGAAAGAATGGGTGAATTTAGAGTGTTATAAGCAGGTAAGATGTTATTCTTAAAGATGAGAGCATGCTCTATGTGCACTGAATCTATCCTCAGCATACAGCAAGACAGGGTTTCAACGCAGAGGTGAGGAACAATACAAAGCACAGGTCAGCCACTGTCCTGCATGCCCTAAGCCTGAAAAAGCAGAGGAATTACCATTTGTTTGTATGGTATTACCCTACTGGAATAGCTATACAGAGATACGTGTAATCCAAAGGTATTCTAAAAAGAATGCACAAGATGGATGGGGTCTCTTTTTCTTTTAAAGGATGATTTGAAAGTTGGGACAAGATAAACCTCATCTGCCCAATGGCCACTAATGTAGCATTTCAAAGAAAAATATTTGCAGAGGTGCTGAAGTGAGGTGCTGAATATTTCAACAAGGCCTTTGGTCCTTTCGAACATTGTTTGAGGAGGATATCGAGTAGTATATTGCTTTGTGGTACAGTATGTTAAAACCTATATAGCTGTATCTCTCCAGGATTTCCAGACCTGTAAGCCACCTAGCCAGCTTTTTACATAGATTTTGCTTTAGATCCAGAAGAAATTGTTTGTTGAAAAAATATTTGGAATTACATTGTCAAATCTCAGATATATTAAGATGCAGTAAAAAAGTGTTCTACACTATATTAGAATACAGAAACTGTGAAACAGTTGACTACTTTGTTATGGTAATTAATTTTATCATGTAGGAAAGCTTTAAGGCAGCAATAAGTATAGTGATTACCCTTGAAGATGGTTTAACTAAAGAGTGCTTAAATATGTCCTCTTGGTAGCTGTGCTGGTGATAACTGCAGTATATGTTTGGATGGCTTCTGAAATTTTCAGCATTCTGCTTCTATTTAATGTACGATCTGCTCTGTAATTATAAGGTGTAGTTAGATAGAACGTAGTGCAGTCACCCATTTAAAATGGAGATAGAAGCCACTATAAATAAAAACACGCTCTGCATATTTTTTTTTCTTCTGCATAATCCTTTTTCTGCTTTAGAGCCTTTTAGGTAGCTTAATTCATAAAACATTACAGGCATGTTTTTAATGGCTTGCTGTATTGCATTCTGGTTATGTAATAGTAAATTCTGCCTTAAAACTATTCAGTGGTTATAAGGGGTTTTTTTAGTATAATTTTATATTATACTTAGTGATGGAACTGTTTTCCTGTGCTAGAACATGTGGAATGTAAAATGTCTTTGCAGGAAAGGATAATTTGTGGCATTCAAATAGTTTATTGGGAAAAAAACCTGTCAGGATGCAGAGAGGAGAACTACTAGGTTGTATCCTGTTTTGCTTCTCTCTTGTACAAAACGAGCATCCAGTGTTCTCTTTCAAACTGAGTAGAGCCTACATTCTCATTTTACAGAAGGCAGCAATTCCTTCTTCCTCCCTTCCCCACAAAATAGCAACAGAGTCCCTCCACAGGGAGGAGAGAGGCCTTTGTTTGCCTCGAGGTGGATGGTTTGGTAAATAGAGAAGTTGTAGCAATAGGAAGAATTCTAGTTTAAATACTGCAGTATAGTGGCTTCTTTATTAAGCTGCAGGTTAATGGCACATTTCCTCTTCAGTCCATGGCAAGCCTTTCACCAAAATTATAAACTTAACGTTAGAAACTTATCATGACCAAAGTAAGCAAGGGAATTTTTTTTGAACAGCTTGTAGGAAGTCCTGATGGTATATTTAACATAAAAAATGTGTACCAATGCATCTCCTGCAGTGACATCACTGGGATTTGATTATCAGGGTTTGTGCTGTTCATTGGAGAAGCCTAAGGGAAAGTTAGACAGCCTGTGTCTGAATGCTGGATCCTGCAGCAGACCAGAACAGGAGAAACAGTGCATTCACTGTTAGCGAAACCTGAGTCACTTATGTGTAAATATACTTCTTTTAGAAAATCTAAGTTTCAAATTGGCAAGGGTCTTAGGGGTTGTTTTCCTGAAACAGTAATCAACTTCAGCTTTAATTGAGATTTCTGTAGTTTGTTACGGTAAGGACCCACTTACAGCTTACGTGAGTTGTATGTGATGGTGTCAACTTACTGGTTAATGTTGATTACTTGAGTAACTTGTATTGTGTTTCCTCTTCAGGTAGTTTTAGCTTCTTGTTTGCATTCATGGCCAGAGAGATGTCATTTTATGGAGGTCTTATTTTGAGCAGATTACAAGTGCACAGTCATCACAAAGAGCAGTCGTCTGATAATAGCTTCTGACATTTTTGTCAATGAATGCAAATAAAATAGATTAGTTTGCCTGAGTAGAATCTAATCATTACTCCCAAGGGTGTACAATGAGTTTCTTCATTGCTGTGGCTGCACAGAAGACTCAAATGTGGTGAGCACTTGCCCTCGCTGTAATGCCAAAGGAGTCGCCCTGTGACTACCAGTTCATCCTGTTGAATGACCTATTAGAGAGCAGCGTAGG